ATATATATATATATGTATATATGTATATATATAGCCATTCAAGATTTATAACGACGAATACACACGATGCTCTCTTCCCCAAATCTTCACTGGATTGCATTTACCCTGATCCAATTGAACACATTCGGCACTGAAAATAGCCATCGAACTGTTTCGTTATCTCCACCCACGTGACACCTACCGCAGCTGAAATAAGTGTTCGAAATGGGACCATCCCACATAAGCTTTCTTTTATTATCACAGCTTAGAATTACCAAAGGAATATCTAAATGGTCGGTAACTCCACGATGCATTGACTATGAGCTGCAGTTGCGTAATCTAGGCTTGGGTTAGTTCAACGGCACACGTGTCATGCTTTAGAGAAATATACAACAGCTATTTGCACCACCGGATTTCTACTGATCATAGTTAAGGCAACCAAAGATTATGGTCCGGTCATCCCTGAGATTACTGAGCCAACGATAACTCGAGCAGCAAATTTATTCCGATCAGTGTAGAGGAAAGCCGTGGTTAACTTTAGCTAACCCCGTGGTACCACTAACCACACTACTGAACTAGCAAAAATCGAGCTCACGCAAAATTGGGTATGGGTCAACTAAAACAATATAATGTAGGGCGAAGTCCAGTCCGGGGGCAAATCAATAGTACCTACGGGCAATGTCCTATACGACGAAAGTGACTAACCGACTACCAGGGTGGGCCACCTGAAGAAGGGAGTTTACAACCGGGAGGAACGAAGAACTGGATTGACCAAAGCTGATTGACTATCTATCAGAAAGCCACGGAAGACTACAGATTTATCAAGGGGCTCGAACTTAGAGCGGATTATCGAGTTCTACGGAGTTAGCCGGAAAGGCGAGAATGCCGCGCAAGCTTTGTTTGGTGGTTCTATCAGCAGGTTGATATCTTCACACATTAACAGGACAATGTATGCGTGATACAATGAGGTTTTCTTGATTGAAGTGTGACTGCTAGGCTCTAGCAACTTCATCCAGCTGTGTTGGGTGAAGCTGAGAACACTATATCAAGAAATGTACAACCAATGTGTGCCCCAACCATAAAACACTTGTTTCTCCAACACAGGCAAATGAAGACTAGTCTTAGAACGATGTGCTGGTGTATTCAGAGCGAAGGAACGAAAGTTTTGTACTACCTGAGTGACAGTGAGATTGATAAGCACAACTAAATATAGTCAGCACATATATGAACAAGTGTTCATCACATGCTAATTCATTTCTCATTACTAGAAAACTAGCGCCAACATGTGTGTGTGTGCGGTTGAACCAGATGGCAATAAAGTGCGCGGACCCAGTTCCAAAGTTCATAAATTAAATGCTACTGAATTTTCAGAACATGTGGGCCTATATAACCGACTGGGAATGTCAGAGTTTATATAGGTTACTAATTCTAGTTATTCGAGAAGTTGATCCTACATCACACTCATCCCGGACTATCAGGGATTTATGCAGCCACTAAAACAGTCGATGAACATCGTGCGTGCACAACAAAGGCACCTCTAAAGAGCAATAAAAAGTTTAGAGGCAGGTTTACCTGGTGTTTGTACTGCTGGTTGTTGTGGAAGCGGACGCCGCTTGTCCAATCGAGACATGATATCGTCACGCCATTTGGTCCGCCGAACACGGTCGATGTGCCGATCACGTGCGTTGGACAGAGAAAAAGCAGAACAGTTGGAACCGTGATGCCGGTTAGCATGTTTCGAAATGGATACAGCATCGTAGTCGCGATGTGTGGACCAAGTGTAACCGATCTAGGTCAACAAAGTTGTGGGGAGATGTCACAAAAGAAGAAAAATAACATGAAAACCTCAGGTAAAGTTCCGGAACAAACAACTCAATGGCAACTGCCGGGCAATTTGTGCATTTTATTCGTCTCCGACAGCGTGAAAACCACTCAAAGTCCTTTTCCAACCTCCTTTGCATTGAGAAGTACAAATCCGCTGACGGATGTGAATAGTATGCCTTGGTTTGTCACGCACTAGGAACTTTGAATAAACCATTTGGTAGAGCCAGTTGGTAAACTTTGAAAGTTTACTGGTACATATAATCTGCACGAGTTCAATATGAAGGCAACGAAGGAAAAGGTGATAGTGTTCTACCGATGCCACAGTGATGAATACCTCGAGGCAACTCAGACGATGAGTGGGTGACTGAGGAAAACACGTGACAGATTTGGCAAGCAGCAGCTTCCAGTAAGGGTGGCAAGCCCTTTACATTTACTTGAAATAAAACTTGTGGCACAAGGCGAAGACGGGCGTTGGAACCACACAAAACAAGAACAGTGAATCGAATGAAACAAATATACCCACAGATACAGAAGAAAAAGAACAAAGAGTTATTCAAACAAGACTCACGTGACTAAGTGATCCGGGGCCATTGGTAATTAGATTGTTTAACAAACTGTGTGGGTGAGGACCAAAGGTCAGACCGACTGATGTATGGCTGTTCAAGTCGGGGGGTTGACCAACCAGTAAGGCAGCAAAACAGAGTGCAAACACCATTAGACACGTGGAAGCAGATCCAACACTTCCATTGCCTGAGGTGTGACGCGAACCAGCCTTGGGACCCTCCGAATTGCTTGTGTGACTATTCGAAACAGCGGTGGTGCCAGTAGCACCAGCAGATGTGGTCTTGGATTTGTTTAATAACTGCTGCATCAAACGGAGCTGACCGAGAAGTGAGCGATTGGTACTTTCGAGGCCATCATTGCGCCGCTTTAAATCCATGTTTTCTTGTGCACATGCATTTAATCTAGTTGGGGGAGAAAACGCAACAGCAGTGTTGTTAAACGAGAAATAAATATACCTTAACGGTTTCGGCATCAATTGGTTAACAACGAAGTAAAATTAAGAATTGAGTCGTTCAGCTGTAGCACCCTTTCGGTGCCTAGCTGCCATGCCACCTGAAGGAAGCACGAGAGCTGGGATACTGCCAGGTCACCCAAGCCTCGACAGGGGAAGTCGAGAGGCAGAGGTCGGGTTCGAACCACGGATCTTGCGGTCAGTAAATTCGCGCTCTAACCACTTGAACCATCTCGCCCCGTTAACAACGAATACGATTTATGGATGCGTCAAAGAAGTCGGATAGTAATTTACAATAACACACAATCAATTACCATGGCTTTTAGTTCTTAATTATTTTCTAGGAAGGAATGTTCATCAAGAGAGATCACCGGCGTTGACAGCTGGCCTGGGTCACAGTACTGAGTTCCAACGGTACCGTTAGAGTCAACAACGACAATGGTCTCTACTGCGTCATGGTTTAAGAAATGTTGTCAGTGCATTCGTGTATGCGCGACAGTCCCGAAAACGATCATTCCAAACAATTTCTGGAAGAGGTCGAATCAAATTCATCACGAATCATTGACGAGGCGAATTCAAAGGCTAGAAGTCCGATAGTGTCTTGATGAGAGCTGTGAAAGAAAGAGCTAATAACCAAAAAAAAGGACCGACTTATATCTGCCATTATATCAAAAATTACTCAAGTACAGACATGGAACGTAGTTGAACTGCAACATGGATTTTAGGATGTGTAGATAGAACCTTCGATCAGCAATCACCCGGTGATTACGAATGCCAAATCGATGGATACGATTAGTCGTGAAGTCAGGGTCATTTTCCTCATGAGAAGACCCGATAATTACCAAGCCATGGGCTTCGAATCTAGTCGGATCAAAGCGAGGAAGTTCGCCCTAATCAGTGCTGTTCAACTAAACAGCCTCACTCTTAAGCTGTGTGATGTGGTTACGCATTAGTGTTACCATCAGAAACTTCGGTTCAAACTATGCACGTGCATGTTGGAATAACGGTTAGTGAAACAAACAGGCACCTTACTGTGCTCGAATCATCCTCTTGATGATTTCACCGGGCTCCAAAGCATCAATTAATGTGAGAAGCATGTTAGTAGTGTGTGTGTGAATCATGAAAACCAATCAACGGCCCTTTATTGAACCGGAAGTGGTACACATTGCAACAAGTCAAACTGAACAAATTAACTATCGGTATGCAGCGTGGAAGTAAATAAGTGATAGTTCGATGGGTCAAACATGAGTGCCAACGCAGCTCCTAGGGTTGGTGTTCCAAACAAAAGCAGCGCAGGGAGCTATCTTAGGATGCAGCTGGACCGATATTCAGCGATTTCATCAAGTGTGCGGAATGCACCATTTTAACTTCAACTACGGGAGAACCGATAGTGCCACTGCCACACAATGCCCGTTGATTAGCTCCTGTCATGAAAAACAAACTGTCATTATCATGTCCAGCTACAAAGCTCTTCACTGTGTCCTCCAACTTCCGCTGGATTTTTGCAAATTTAGCCGCAGGACCGTTTTGTAGGTTAATTGGCAAATTCGTTCCTTCGTCTGTATGAACCTGAAGCGGTAAGCGCAACTCTGCACAACAGCACTATCAAAACCAAGTTGAATAACTACCAGTAAGTGATGTTCACATGATCTAGAAGTCTATGGCTGGTTTGCCGCTGGTGGCCTTCAAGTGGGCGCTGGTTAAGAGTAGATGATGTTCAACGCAAAGCAATTATGCTTAGTGTGGGTAAAGCCAGTCGGCCTACTTGAGTATTCGCATCTCCATTCAGGATGGCGATATCTGTGCTTCTTCCTGATTGGGGTGATCTCGCTTGGAGAGATAGCCCTTGGCTTTGAAGCCACAATTTCTCGGAACCCATTCTGACACCACAGAGAAGCATCGTTGGCCGCATCAAGATGCATCAGCATCGTATGAGACAGACAGCCGATTGTTTATTAAAATCTGGTCCCAAAAACCGAGTGCACCTCCTGGCCATGGATACGATGATCAACAGATGACCAAGGGGTGGAGTGAAAAATACCTGAGCTCATCCAAAGTGGCGCAAAATGCGACAGAGCAGCAAAATATGCACTTCCTGTTGTCGGAAGAAAAAAAACACAACATTATGGGTTTTGTATGTACAGCTGTAACACCCGTCCGGCGCACAGCTGACATGTCACCCTGAGGAAGCACTAGGGCTGAGATACTGCAAGGTTACCCAAAGCTAGGCAGGATCAGTCGAGATGCAGTGGTTGGGTTCGAACCACGGACCTTTCAGTCATTGATTTCGAATCTTAACCATTAAATCATTTCAACATCAGAAAAGCGTAACAGCGATGACAAAGGGACTGTGACATGGTTCCGTTTTGAAAACAATTGCGCATAGTGCATAGCATGAGTATGGTATACGGTAGCATACGTACGAGATGCGTAGAAAATGCTAAACTTTCACTAATTTAAGGCAATCACCCTCTTTCAAAAGTTAGGTTCGAAAACTTTTATATTAAGGCGGTAGGAATTACAAGTCGTAGTACAAATACACACTGGCGGAGTATGGACAAAGGTATCAGGTATTCTGTGCGTATGGTGATTATCCCGGTGGGCTATGGTTTGTCCCCTCAGGGAAGGATGCCCACTGTCAGATAGTCACATGTAGATGAAATAGCAAGGCGAATCGATCGCACAGAAACTCCCCCCTCTTCCACCAAAATACAACTAGCTTTGTGATTTGGAAAGCACATACACATAGGTGAAGACTGACAACTAGCCGCTTTGTAGTCCGTCGTTCGACAAACTGTTAACATCACTCGGTCTTAAAAAATCACTTAATGCAATCCGCAAATTACATCCAAGCACTCCAACCGACTAACTCTGTGCGTTGAGTTGAAGACAGACTCTACAGAAGAGGTATACACTGACTGATTCACCGACAGGCGTAACGTGGAACAGTGACACTAGACAAAATGTTACCTGCGATAATGAAAGGTACTGCATTAGACCTAGATGGGTATGCGAACCGTCTGTCGTCCATACACAGGCAATTCCACATAATACCGTTTGGCTTATTATAGAGTACACACCCGAAATTTGGGTCCATACATTAAACCAATTAGCTACTGGTCAAAGTCGGTCCCAATTACCTTGGGGTCGCATACCATAAACCTAACCGAACCATGGGTACTTAGCGTTTGGTTAACTAGCGGTCCATACCAATGATGCACGCTCGTTAGCAGAATATGAAGGTGAATTTAATTGACATCGAAAAACCTGTGAGATACTGTTCTACCGAAAAGAGTGAGCTGAGATTGACAAGGAAAAAAGCCGAGCTGCGTCCATGACTGGCTACTCCTTTCACCTAGGAGCCGTGAAAAGATTGGGGATCTTAACATAACTTTCTGAAAAAGAACCGGAGCTAGTGGCTGCCAATGTACCATGATCTGCCACGTGGCGTACCAGCGAAACGCTACCCAGCCCAGGTCACCCATGTGAGTACACAATAACTAGTGTTATCCAAGGAGCGTCTGAAGACTATCTTAATGACATCAGCGTATCACCTTAGACATAGTTTGACCTTCCCGAACACTGCGCTGTTACAGAAACGTTAATTCTTCCTATCACAGGCTCGTGTACACGGGATCGCGTCGATAAGCCATCCTTTCTCGCCTTCAAGGGGTTGATTTCCGCCTCAATGAATAAGGAACATGCGTTTTATCAAACCTCATTAATCAATGACCACGTTGAAAATAGTACTCTATGTTATGCATATTGTGGCTGATCCATTCTGAACCCAGAGAATGTGCTCATTAAAAGCTAGCAGTAAAAATACTCTCATTGTCTAAATCAATTGAAAACGTTCGAAATCGATTGGAAGGGGCAGTCGGTGAAGGCATCCGAGGTTCGCTCAGACGTTAGACCCAATGGACTTGTCAGGACAATCGTTTAGTAGGCATCCCCTCATTGTTCACCGGCCAACCGTTGTTGATAAAGGATATGCTAGGCAACGCTTGATACAAATCGAGCTTGAATCCACGTAACGATTACTCATCAAGGCACTGCTAGCCGAACTGGACCACCACGCCCATCAACCAGTCTTCCACTGTCCCTTCGTGAGTGAGTGTCTAAGACAAGAATATAGAAATGCCCGGTTAGTCTAGAGAGGAATCCAGGAGATAGGCTCATCGGCAATGTTCAAAGTATCCATTACGAAGCCTCGTTAATAGTGGCACAGGAACTGATAGTATCGCGATAGTGTTGGGTTGATCGGATCAGAAGTCAAATTGAATGACTACAATGGTCCGAATACTATGGCGAGACGACTGTCTAAACAAAGGTTATGTGGACGCAAGTTGCAAGAATCTCGTTTTAGATAAGCACATGGGGTAAGGTGGTCTGATAATCCTAAAAGGGGTGGGGGAAAAGCGCATAGCGAGAGACCTAGGGTTTTCAGGCTGATGCCGTCGAAATGCGGGATACGAAAAGCAGGAGTTAGAAATAAACACTGTTGGTTAAAAAACCTGCCTTCCAGTCAATTCAATCCGTGGAGGGTGATGAAGCAAGTCATGCATAACAGTGAAAGTTGAATTGATCAATAATGCCGGGTTCATTGATGAACTTGACTGTTGAGAGTACGTTCGCAATTGACATTCATAAGGCAAGTTTACAAACATCATTGTCAAAAAGAGATCAGTGAACGACACCAAACCGTATTGAGGACCTTTAACCCAAAGTGGAAAGCTGATTGAAGACTAATGAGGTGAGCCCAACCTTAACGCTGAAAGGGAATCATGCAACATGCAACGTACCAAGGGTTCTAGAGATTTGAGTTTGGATCTCAAACTGAACCGAGGATGACGCACTATCCATGCTGATTGAGACTGAGAACCGTAACTAAGCGGCATGAGTATTCAGGCTGATGCCGTCGAAATCCGGGATACGAAAAGCAGGAGTTAG